CTGCAATGATTTGATCTTCCAGTGAACCCTGCAAAAATATATTTTTAACATTTGATTTTACATTTCACATATACCTCTTATATGTAAAATGTAAGAGGTAATTCTCTGACCTTTGTACACAAAAAACATTGTGTACCTGCATTTTTCCAGCCACTGGTTCTGCCTTCTTAGATCCAGTCATTGCAATTGTTGCAAAGTACTGGATGACACGCTTGGTGTTTACAGTTTTTCCAGCACCGGATTCTCCACTAGAGGAGAGGAATAAGTGATCATTCAGATTATTCAGCCTCATTGTTACACTTCTGTAAATATGTATAAACATTTATTTTTTTTTTTGTTACTTACGTGATGAGGATGGACTGGTTCTCACGATCTGAAAGAAATATTTGTAAATATATATGGTTTGCAGTAAATATGCATCACCATCTCTCACTGTTCAAAATCTTACCTGTGAGCATGAACTGATAGGCATTGTCAGAGACAGAGAAGATGTGAGGGGGTGCCTCAATCCTCTTCTTGCCTCTGTATGCCCCAACAACAACAGCATCGTACACTGGGAGCCACTTGTAGGGGTTCACAACGACACAAAACAAGCCAGAGTAAGTCTGAAAAGACAGATATATTCTTATTTAATATCCTGGCCTGCTTTTGAGTTGGTATTTTTTTTTTAGATTTTTATGGTAATGTTTTCATCCTAAATCCTCACGTAGATCATCCAAGATGCAAACCGATCTTTGAGGTTATACAACACACAAGGCTCGTTGAGGTGGGTCATCATGGCCATGTCCTCAATTTTGTCGAACTTTGGAGGATTCCTGGGATGAATATCATCCTCTTTGACTGTTACAGTCTAAAAAAAACATGGACTGTCACACGTGTTTAAAATATAAAATCCGAGAGGAATTAGAAAAGGACAAAATTAAAAAATTGAACAAAGCTTAACCCACCTTCCCTCCTTCTATCTCAACAGTGGCTTTGCCACCTTCTTTCTTCACAAGTTTACCCTTGAGATACATCTCATCAGGATCCACCACAAAGTAAGCTGTTTTAGCATCAAATGGAGCGGCCTGAGCTTCAATCCTCTCCCTTTCTGGCTTGCGGAGATATATGGCCGCTGGGCCATAGGCCTCCATCTCTGCATCCGTGCTCATTTTGGCAACTTTTCAGTCCTGTAAGAATAACAACTTTTGAATTGGTTTAATCTTATTTGTTTTCATAAAATTTGTATGATATTCTGGAACATACACACATTTCTAGAAAATCAAAATCTATTGTATCTATTATACTTTTATTATTGTACATATAAATCCTACCTTCCTCCCAGCTGAGTTGATGTTTAATGATGCCTAAAGATGCTGCTAAAAGAAAGATTTACATGATTAATCTCAAAATACTTTTCTGAAATATTTTAATTTTAAAGTCTCCTAGATTAATTATGGAGTTGTTTAATTTCAAATAACTCAAATCAGCAATACAAAAGAACCACTTGATATCACAGAAGCAACAGAAAGAGACACATGAAGTTAATCTCTTAAACCAAAGCAAGTATAAGTTAATGTAAACAACAAAGGACTGACCTGTAAGGGATACCCATCAGTTCTCAGCGGAGTCTGGGGCTGCTGCTTTTATACAGGCTGAAAATGCCTCGGTCAGCAGCAGCCTGCTTCTCCATTTGGTCAAGCATCCTTGTCATCTTAAGACCCAACGTGTGACATTTCAGGATCAGACTGCTATTTTTTGATATAACATTTACTAGCTATTAAACTAAGAGCTTTGTCAAACAATTTTTTTTTTTACTTTTTTACTAAATCAAAATAATTCAGAACCATATGTTAAAAAACATTAGACTGAAAACTTGTTAATTGGAATAAAAAGAAAATGCAACTAAAAAACAATTAACACTGCATTTGAAACAGTGTTTTAATTCTATAATATGCATCAATAATGAATGTAATGAATAATTAAAATTCTCAATTGCTAAATTAAGGAACCCGTCACTTGACCTTTCTTTCTCAAACCCATATGCATTGCCTTTAGTAAAATCTCAGTAAATATCACAAGTATCAAGTCTGAAAGCATATCCACATTTCAAATATTTGCAATTAAAAATAATGATATTTTTTCTCTTATGACACACTAGCGGTACAGAAATGCATCAATTAATTTTGAGAGTTTGTTATTTAGTATGAGTCATTTTCAATCACATCTTTCTCATATAAGCATGTCTTTTGCTCATAAAGCATACGTCTGACAGTAATCTTCAAAGTATGTCCCAAAATACATGCCATGACATACATGTGCTCTTATAAATAATTTATACAAATACATTTTAATTGTTACTCTCTAAAATATGATGAAGTTTAAAGAACTGATAACTTTGTAGTGAGAAGTTGTGTCTTCTTAGCCCTGCAAATAAACAAGCCCATCGCCAAGAACAGAAATTCATTTGGGGAAGCTCCCAAGTGGTGCTGGTATACGGTTGCAGAACACTGGCACAGCTCATATTCCTCTAATAAAACTGAATGTAAGGCCCTTTCCATAAAGTTCAAACGGTGTTACACCTTGACTTAAAAGGAAGGGAAGAACATTTGCCAACCAGGGTGAGAGAAGATCTATAATAAGTATCACTTTAATATCCAAGATCTTTATCCTCATGCTTCATTTTATTCAAAGGATATTGCTGTTGTAGACAGTTGGTGTCCTTGAAAAACTATTCAACTTTGATTTTGATCCTTCAGTAGCCAAAGCTTGAGAAATATTCATTGCACAAACAACTGGCTAATACTTTTTAAAAGGGGATTACTTGGCATAATAGATCTCTGATATTTATTAGTCTTTACAGCAGTTTCTATTTTTAGACAGTAAGAAAAGAATCTGCTGTTTTATTTATTTGACTTAATAGTTTATTACACTTTTCATAGAATTTTAAAATTTATATTGGTTCGTACAATATTTCTTTGTATCCAAGAGCAGAACAAATGAGTTTTCTTTGTTAAGCTTTCTGTGGTTCAGAAGAATAGACTCCAAATGGCACAAAGCTTACATCAGGCTCTTCAGGTTTCATTAGAGTCAGTATCAACAGGAACACTGAAAATTTAAGGTAACTCCATTTTCTTAAGAGGTTGTTTGTCACTGTTAGTTGGACAGGAAGTAAAGCTGAGAGAAAAAAGTAAAGACTTGCAGTAAATGGCCCCATGTCTAGGATTAAGACCATGGACAGCTGCAACAAGGATCACAGCCTCAGCATGTGCTGCTTCTGCTCCACCACTCAACCACATGAAGGCCCCACAAAAGTCTTTATATAAATTTAAGTATATACTTGCCTTTCAGCATCTACAAAGAACTGTGCAAGACTCATATTGTCTGTCCTGCAACTCTGCAAGAATAAAGCGGGTATACAATTTGATTCTTAAGCCATTAATTGTCACTCTCAAAACACTTACATGTTACCTATTGGGTCCATGAGGTCACTTGCAATATATTTATATATTGCAAGTGAAAATGTAGCAACTTTCAGACATTTATGCACCCATTATAAAATGCCATTAAAAATATTGTTAAATCATTTCAAAAGCTTTTACACATGTAATGTGTGTGGAAAAGTGTTCCTATTTTTTTGCATGTTTATCTCACTGTTTCAGTTCATCAAACCAATTTAAATGTTAGTCAAATACAAGGAAACACCAAATGCAGCTTATTAATTAAGGTGTTTATTATTAAAGGAGTACAAAAATCCAAACCTACCTATGTGATAAAAGTGATTTCCCTAAAACTAATAGCTAGTTGGGCCACCCTTAGCAGCAACAACTACAATCAAGCATTTGCGATAAGTTACAATATGAGTGGATTTTCGGCCCACTCATATTTGGGGAATTGTTGTAATTTAGCTACATTGGATGATTTTTGTAAGCAATAAAAGGTCACAACATCTCAACAGGATTCAGGTCAGAACTTTAACTAGACCACTCCAAAGTCTTCAATTGTTTTTCTTCAGTCATTCAGTGGTAGACTTGCTGAAGTGTTTTGAATCATTATCTTGATGCAGAACCCAAGATAGTTTCAGCTCAAGGTCACAAACAGATAGCCAGACTTTTTTTTTTTCAGGAGTTTTGGTAGACAGCAGAATCCATTGTTGCATTCAGCACAGGAAGCCTTCCAGATCTTGAAGAAGCACAACATCCCTAGACCATCACACTACCACCACCATATTTTACTATCAGTATAATATTATTTTTCGTAAACTTGGTGTTACTTTTAAAACAGATGCAATGGGTTCACACACCTCCCAAACAGTTCAGCTTTTGTGTTATCTATCCACAGAATGTTTTCCCAAAGGTCTTGTGCATCATCAAGATGTGTTCTGGAAAATTAGTATTTGGCATGCTGTTGTACTGCTATCAAAGAAGATTCAATGCTTAAAAGGTGCATATCATAACATAACATATGTTTTTTTCAGTTCAGTTGTATAGGATTATGGCAACATTATATCTGTAAAAAATATATATATAATTTATCATATTTAAATTTTTTAAGTAACAGAATATTGGGATTTTTGTAGGGGTGTGTAGAATTTTGAGTACCACTGTAGATAAAAAGAAAAGATACCATGTTCAATAATTGCTTAACAGTAGCTGAGAAATTGTGATAAAAATCTTAAACAATTAAGAAAATTGATTAACTGGTTGATTCTGAAGAAATATGGCTATATGAAAAGGTGTTGGCTGTCTTAATTATATTTTACAGGATAAGAATTATATTTTTCATGAACAATTTTGTCAAAAGGAAAGAAAAAGAAATAACATAGATTTAACGTTTGACTGGAACAAAAACAGACACAAAGATATATTTTTTTAAGGTTTCAGTGATATCTTTCTGGTGTTGGCCTTTTTTACTTCATTTCCTTTAAACACCACCTGGTGGCAGTAATAAACCCTGCTGTTCGTTAACAACAAGCCGCAGAAAAACTACAAACTTCCCCCAGGTTTGTAGTTCGTTTTGAATGCGCTTGCGTGCTTTGTAACGGCACCACCGGAAGTTACATGGAGGGCTACACGCTTTGAGTTTGCAAGCTAGTTTAGCTTTTCAAAAGTTAGCACTGAGTTTTAACTCCAGAGTTGATACTGTCTTGAAAGAAATGCCTTCCCTAAATGGAAAAGCTGACGTTTTATTTGTAAGTAATACAAATGAAAATACGATATAATATCTATCACTATATCTAACATTAGTTCTTGCTAGCTAGCTAGCGTAAATCTAGCCTGGCTGGGTACATAAAATTGAAAGAGACAGTTGTGTTTTGTGTGTTTTCATGAAGTTATACTTCATGATAACTTTTTATTGCTGTCAAGACATCGTTGCAATTTTAACCGTAATACTTGCCGCAATACTTTATATTGCTTTAGTGAAATAAATTCAAACGTCACTCTTTCGTAGATTTTAACTTACATTGTCTTTCGTGTTTGCTGTTTGTGTTACTTTTTCAGGAGGATGATGATCTTCCCTATGAAGAGGAGATTATCAGGAATCCATACTCAGTCAAGTGTTGGATGCGCTACATTGAATTCAAACAAAATGGAGCCAAATCCACCCTGAACATGATATATGAACGGGCTCTGAAGGAATTGCCTGGAAGGTAACTTTTACTGAAAGATAAAATTGCACATCTTGGTAAAGATGGCCCTCTCTCTTTTTAAACCAAAATTTCCCTTCATTTTTACAGCTATAAGTTGTGGTACAATTATCTGAGAGAAAGGAGGAAACAAGTCAAAGGAAAATGCATTACAGATCCAGCATATGAAGAGGTCAATAACTGCCACGAAAGAGCACTTGTGTTTATGCACAAGGTAGTATTGACTCAAAATCCAGCAATGTAACAGTAAATAAAATAATCATACAGTGAAAACATTGTGGGGTCTTGGCTGTGTTTTTTTTTTTTTTTTTTTTAAACTAACCAATATTTTTTTTTTTTTTTCATAAATGTAGATGCCCAGGATATGGATTGATTACTGTCAGTTCGTCGTGTCACAGTGTAAGATCACGAGAAGTCGGAGAACGTTTGACCGGGCTCTAAGAGCACTACCTGTAACCCAGCACCCACGAATCTGGCCTTTGTACCTGCGCTTCGTTCACAGCCTGCCCCTGCCTGAAACAGCCCTGCGGGTATATCGAAGGTACCTTAAGGTGAGATCATGGAGCACAAAGCATTTCTGTACAGCGCCTGTCATGTAAGAATTCATGCTATAATTACATGTAGGGAAATTTTCTGTAATTTCACTGTGCGGTCGGTATTTTTGCTTGCGTGGTAACATTTTACGTGAATTCCTGAAAGCTCTTTGCTAAGTAAAAGTATTTGATTGTTTTTTTGTTTGTTTGCTTTGAGAATAGCTGAACTTATGTGTTTTAGTCAACAAAATATGTAGTTTTGATTCTGATTAAAAGAAGTTTAACAGCACATTTTCTAGCATTCTTCTGGTATCTGCATATCGCAACATCGCTGTTGTAAAGGTAACAAAGATTATGCTTTAGAGATCTAAGTGCAATAGTTCTGTACATTTTCCAAAGTATTCTGTCTTCTCTTCATACCTTGTAGCTATCTCCAGAGAATGCAGAAGAGTACATAGACTACTTGCGGTCTGTTGGTCGCTTGGATGAAGCAGCTGTGCGATTAGCAGCAATTGTAAACGATGAAAGCTTTGTGTCCAAAGAGGGCAAGTCCAACTATCAGGTAAAACGACATTTTAGGTCTAGCACCTTCAAATATGTCTCTATTATTCTGATCATAGTAACATACAAATCCTTTTTCTGCGTGTATTTTTACTTTTTTGTTTAGCTGTGGCACGAGCTGTGCGACCTGATCTCTCAGAATCCCGATAAAGTGACCTCTTTAAATGTTGGAGCCATCATACGAGGTGGCCTCACACGCTTTACAGACCAACTTGGAAAACTTTGGTGCTCTTTGGCTGATTATTACATCAGGAGTGGCCACTTTGAGAAAGTACGTTTCACTGAATTGCTTATATTTTTATGTATCAATCAGTTTTTAATTTAGGATTTTAAACCTTTGCTCCATATTTGTGAATTAAAGAGACCATTATAATGACACATCATGCATCCCTTTTCAACAACCAAAAAAATCTGTTTCTTCAGGCACGGGATGTTTATGAGGAAGCCATACTTACTGTAGTAACTGTGAGGGATTTCACTCAAGTGTTTGATAGCTATGCTCAGTTTGAGGAGAGCATGATTGCTGCAAAGATGGAGACCACTGCTGAGATGGGACAAGAGGAGGAAGGTTTGTGTGAGTTAGCATTAAGGCACCTTTCTTCCACAGTACCACTTATAAATGTCAGATTTTTTTTTTTCCTTTCTCCAACCAGATGACATAGACCTGGAGCTTCGTCTGGCCCGCTTTGAGCAGCTAATTGCCCGGCGGCCACTTCTGCTCAACAGTGTACTGCTGAGGCAGAATCCCCATAATGTGCACGAGTGGCACAAGCGAGTAAAACTTTATGAAGGAAATCCACGACAGGTAAGTTTAAGGGCCTTTATTAAAAATATTTCTATATCTCTAAGTGTCTATCACACAGTACTGATAAATGGATCAAAAAATGTGTCCACTCCAGATCATCAATACATACACTGAGGCAGTACAGACAGTGGATCCAATGAAGGCCACTGGAAAACCTCATTCTCTCTGGGTTTCTTTTGCTAAATTCTATGAGGAAAATGAACAGCTGGATGACGTAAGTTACCAAAGTCTTTCCTTCGGAACTGCATAGATTCTTTGAATTTAGGATGGATGATAGTTTTTCCTTTTAATTTATATGTCTCATATTTCCTGACTCAGGCCAGGACAATCTTTGAGAAGGCTACTAAAGTAAACTACAAACAAGTGGATGACCTTGCTGCAGTTTGGTGTGAATATGGAGAGATGGAACTTCGCCATGAGAATTATGATCAGGCACTACGCATACTGAGGGTAAAATTTTTCTAGTAGATGTTTTTGTTGTTTACAGATGCTGTATCAACATAATTTGTTATTTTTTTCTTCCTTTATTTCTGTTTGCTATTTCTATCTTTTCTTGGATGGGACAAGGAAAATACTAACATGCCAAACAGCAAAGCGTTTGAAAAGCTCTTTAAAAAAAATAATAATAATAATAATAATTCAACGTTAAGGTCATACCAACATAAACTATTCTTTGGATGTTATGTCTGATTTTTATCAATTCAGCATATTATTAGAACATCATCCAATAAGTCTAATCTATTGTTTCAGTTCATAACACTCCAGTTATAAGTTTAGCAGAATATCCAGATTTCCTATGTCATTTATTAAATCTTAGTCTGTGAAAGTTGTTTTTTCCAGCTCAGACCAACACTTTCTGCTCAGTCAGAGCTGTGAATCATTTCCACTTCATATGTATTCATTTGATAACAGGTAATAGTGGAGAGTTAAGGCTGCCTTGTAACAGAAAACACTTCCAACCAAGCCTGACTTAGGAAATCTGTCTTGACCCACTGGGGATTGATTAGATGAAATTGAGATGAACAAAAGCACCAAACAAGAGAGGAACAGTAAAGAAGTTGGAGTGCAGAGACACTGACATGTTGAATTTATCTTAATGTATCATTTTCTGTACAAAGTGTGTCTTAAAATACTATCCTCCTCTGTCAAAAGCAACAGACAGACTGTTCAAAGATAACTGTTCACACTTACAAACAGGCTATTTGAAAAGCTTCCTTATGCTCCCCCCCAGATGCCTACTAATATGCTATGAAAATATATTTGGTCTCAAAACAAAGAACTAGCAAATACATCATGAAGCAGTACAAGTAGCAAATGCATTGCTGTTCTATAAACTAGGTGCGTAGGGACATCTATTGGCAAATTCAGGAACTACAACAACACAAACGCATATGTTTGTTTCATTTGTCTGTTACAAATTAAAGAAAAATCAGGAAAATGACAAAAGTATATAATTTTTTTATTTGTCTGAAAGCATTGAGAGTGTAACAATATTTCATTGTTTGGTTGGTTTCATTGTGTTCAAGGAGACACTGACAACATTCACATGAAAACTGATTGTTTAGAAGTCATTAAAAAGAAACCTATTGAACACAAATTTGTAAAATATTAACATTTAAGGCAAATACTTCAAATGCATCACTGTAAAGGAAATGAAACTACTGTATTTTTATTACTATTGTAGCTACAACACTAAGTTTATATTTTTATGATTTTTGTATTAGAAAGCTACAGCAATCCCATCTAAGAAAGCAGAGTACTTTGATTCATCTGAGCCAGTCCAGAACAGAGTCTACAAGTCCCTGAAGGTCTGGTCTATGCTGGCAGACCTCGAGGAGAGTCTTGGGACTTTTCAGGTATGTATATAAATTTGTAGAAGATGACAAAGCACCTAATCAGATCTATAGTTTTCTATTTCAGTTCTTAATCCCTTATATCTTATTATTCTGGTTTTGATCATCAGTCTACAAAAGCAGTGTATGACCGCATTATTGATCTACGCATTGCCACTCCTCAAATTGTCATCAACTATGCCATGTTCCTTGAAGAGCACAACTACTTTGAGGAAAGCTTTAAAGTAAGAATGTTTGAACCAATTCAGGAACGTGTATTCTGTTACTCATAGTTGTATTTTTATTTGATCAATTTAAACATATTTTTCATTGTTTCCTTCTGTTCAAAAGGCATATGAACGAGGGATCGCTCTCTTCAAGTGGCCAAATGTTTATGACATCTGGAACACTTACCTTACCAAGTTCATTGACCGCTATGGCGGCAAAAAATTGGAGCGAGCCAGAGATTTATTTGAACAAGCCCTGGATGGCTGCCCTGCCAAGTTTGCCAAGAGTAAACAACCTTTATAGCACACCACAAACATTTTTCAGTACTACATTTTATTTTCTCATTCTATCTTGTAAACTGATCTAAAACATTGTTATTGTTTTCTTTCTATTTGTTTTTAGCCATTTATCTGTTGTATGCCAAACTGGAAGAGGAGTATGGATTGGCACGGCATGCCATGGCTGTCTATGAAAGAGCAACGCAGGCAGTAGAAACTGAAGAGAGACACCATATGTTTAACATCTACATCAAGAGAGCAGCTGAAATTTATGGCGTTACGTACACCAGAGCTATTTACCAGAAGGCTATTGAGGTGAAGTTTTGGTTACATAAAATAATACTTGGAAGTGTTTCTTGTCATTCTTCTCTTGGGATTCCCAAGAAAGTTGTTTTGTCACAAAATCGGTCAAATAAAGATTGTTGAATTTCTGTTTTCCTTAGAAAAAACATCACAATAGTTGCACATCAAGTGTAATACGTTCAAGACTTGTAATTCTAATTGCAATATTTATTGTATGAATAGTAGTTATTTAAATTATTGTATCTCAAGTTATGTTTCCTATCCACAAATCACACAATCAACTTGTATATTTATAGTTTGCGAACTACTGTGCTGAGCTTGCCTAGAATGATAAAACAAGTCTAAGATTGCAACATTTGTTTAATTTACATAGCATATTTTTATCTTCTAAAAGTGTTGTTTTATAAATGCTGAATTGTCCGACATCTGAGGATTGCCTTTTATACTCCGCCAGGTTCTTCCTGATGAGCATGCGAGGGATATGTGTATGCGATTTGCTGACATGGAGTGCAAACTTGGGGAGATTGACCGTGCCAGAGCAATCTACTCCTATTGCTCTCAGATCTGTGACCCAAGGGTGAAAGAAACCACCTTATCTTAATGTTCTTTTAGTAAAGTGTTCAAAAATATGGCAATTCATTTGGATGTATTTATCGTCTTTTAGGTGACAGCAAATTTCTGGCAGACCTGGAAGGAATTTGAGATTCGCCATGGAAATGAGGATACAATTAGGGAGATGTTGAGAATCAAGCGCAGTGTCCAGGCTACCTACAACACCCAGGTCAACTTTATGTCCTCGCAAATGCTGAAGGTTTCAACAAGCTCTACAGGCACTAGTAAGACACCATATTTGAAAGTTGGGCCCTTAGTTGTGGGTTTCCCTTGGTTTTAGTATCTGCTTAATTTCTTACTCATGAAGGTCTGTCATGCTATTACCGCAGTCAAAAGACTTGCCTTTCTGTTTTACATGTTTTTTGTACTATTGTAAGATTATTAGTTACAGCTATAAAAACAGCTGTAAAACTTGAATATTTTATAAATAAAATGGTGAAAGCCATGCACAGACAGGCTAAGGCCACAGCACAATAGTTGCTATCAGAATTGTTAGTAATATAAGTTATATAACATAGAAGCATTTGATTGTTTATATCTGGACTTCCTCTTTCAAAGTTGGAAAATTATACACTATGGTATTTCTGTGTTCAATTATTTTTTTAAGCTATTCAGCTCAAGTTTGATTCTTTAGAAATTTAACATTAACAAAAGTAAATAGTTTAAATAAAGTTGAAAAATGCCAGCACTTATAAAGGGTTAATGTGAGGCAGATTATGTTTTTCCACTAAAATAAGGTAAACACTTTTGTAATCCCCAGAAGGTTAATTTACTTACCAATAAATCTAAGGTTGCACCCCAAATTATTTAAACACCTGATAGATAAAGTTTTTTAAATTATTTTTATTTCAGCCTAAAAGGTTATTTCTGGCAGAAATTTAGACAATTTTGATTTATCAGTTTTATAAATTGGTTTCCAAAAGTGATGGAAATCTTTCTTCTTAATTAAAAGCTCCATTATGGGCAAAACTGCAATCAAACCTGTTTTGTTTTTTTATTTATTTTATTTATTTTTATTCTACTTAAACAGATATTTATGATCACAAAAGCAAAAATAAAGCACACTGGGTCAGAGAAAATCCACACATTTTCTGTCCACCAGAGTGTTTTTCCTCTAAGTATTTGTCAGTTAATCTACTATTGATGTTCTGTAAACTGTGTGGGATATTCAGAAAAATCAGTTATGGAAATTTTACCTTTAAATTTGCAGAATGTTAAAGACATTCTTTAAAAATGTGAAACATTAATAAATGATACATTTGTCTCAATATTTTCTATTTGGTGTCAGTTTCAGATCTTGCTCCTGGCCAGATGGGAATTGATGATATGAAAATGTTGGAGCAGAAAGCTCAGCAACTTGCTGCAGAGGCTGAGCAGGACAAACTCAAACCCAAGGAGAAAATTCTGTTTGTCAGGTTTGTGATTCTGATTGACTAAGATATTAATTCACAGGCTTTATGAAAACCATCACTTTCAATGCATCACCATTTTCCTTATCTCTCTGTACAGGAGTGATACTTCTCGCAGTGAGTTGGCTGAGCTTTCCAAACAAGCCAATCCTGATGAGATAAATATTGACGACGACGAGGATGAAGATGAGGATGACCAAGGACCCGATGGTTAGTGTAAAACAAATTAAAACTCTGGTGTGAGGGGGGTGAGTTGCTTGTTTAAGCATTTCTGTGAGTCATTAAAAATGCGATTTTCTGTGTTTTTTTCCTTTACAGAGGTGCAACTTGAGCAGAAGAGTGTTCCAACAGCTGTCTTCGGAGGTCTTAAAGAGGACTGAAAAATGACTCATTAAATTTAGCAAAAATCCAAACTTATATAATATTTCAGTGGCTACATATTTTAGATTACAGTGAATGTTTAGATGTATCATTAGTTTGACAGAATGATACAGACATCCTTAAGAATCAGCAGGAGAACTTTCCCTTTAAAGTTTTGTTTTTTAGGTGAAGAGCTGTATCTATTTTGACCACATGATGTCAGTAACTTAAAGCCCAGCATGTTCATTTTATTGGGTATTTTTTAAATTATACGTTTTGTTGGAGTTGGATACTTGCTCACACTTATTTTGTTTGAAAATAAATACATTTAATACATGTTTTTTTACCAGAACAAAATTTAAATATGTTGGGGAGGAACATTGTTTCATTAGCTTTGAATGTTACAAATGATAATGTTAAGAATTTGCAAAAAGTTGAGAACTTGTAGATTAATTCTTTGTAGTAATTCAGTTCAAGCGGTGGTTGCATGTGTACATTAAACTGTTTGTTGTTGAATGGTGGAATTACATACAATTTCAAATAATCATTGATTTAATAGTTTGATTTTTGTTTTGTTCCAATTGCATAATTCATTTTCTTATTCATATAGCTGGTAGGTAGCAATGTTATAAAAGTGGATAAAGAGACAAGTATGTAAATCTGAAATAAATAAGCAAACTTGCTCAATATCAGATTTAGACACCCCATCATCAGACACAAACTGATGTGTTATAAAGTACTGACTTGAACTAATTGTTTCAACAGATTAAAATAGCTGAGAAGTAATCCTCTTACAAAGTTACAACAGCAGTGCCTGTAGACCATTTTTGAGCATCATGTGATGACATGCTCTTGGGTGTGCTGTTTACCAAGGTTGTAGGTGCTGCAGGAACACCGTTTGGAAAACATCCACGCCTAAGTTAAAGTAAAATGAAGCACTCAAGGTTTTTGGTTCCTTACCTCACACAAAAAAGTGCATCACATTTTAATTGATTTTCTCTATAGTAATGTAGTATAAACTCCAGATTGCTATGTTGTGTTATTGTACACAAATTTGGAGCTGTTTAATCTTGCATTTAAAGAAAGATGCTAGATTAATTTTGTTTCATTAAGATATAGTTTATGAAATTTTATAAATTCTTTAAGATTATATTTCTGTGTTGCTGTCAAATATAATTTGAAAACTTTAGGTAGTAGGGAAAAATACTTTACCATGCAATATTTTTAGGATTAATTATAAAAAAAAATATATATATATAAAACAATCACCACCAGTTGTGTCGATATTATAATAAGCTATTTTATTTATGGACCTATACATTCACTTTTTTTTTTTTAACCAAATCAGCAATGGCAGAATTAGACTTATCATTGAATAAAATATTGTGGATAATCTCCAGGAACATAATACGTTTACTATTTTCAGTTTTGCGTAGGAGTGCATTTTGACTACTTTCAGTATGACTTCCTATACTTTTCAGTGTGATTTCCACACTTAAAACTTTTTTTCGTTTGGAGTTTATAAAGCATTGAAATGTAATCACAGAAGAGCAGATTTCGAATAATCTGCACTTTAAGTTAACTTTCAACAGCTTACGGCAATAAAATGCTGTCCCCTCAGGGGTTCATCTACATACCAGATGCACCTGTAGCAAAACTACCACCACACCTTTACCTGCTGTTTCCTTTCACAAGGAGGGCCCGCCCTCGTTGCGCATCCTTAATTCCTATTGGCCAGTTGGGTGAGCGAGCGATGCCAGTGTGGAGCACCTGGTAGTCACTCATCGCCTGGACTAAAGTGGAGCTGTGTACAGTGAACTGACAACACAGCAATGCGGACGAAGAGAGGCAGAAACGATTGGGAATAGTCCGGCTTTCTGAAACATCTCGGTGTTTCTGAGCTTTGTCTGATTGTAAAGTATAACTAAGCGGATATTTCGTCTTCGGGAGGACGTAGAAGAGGACATTAGCTGTCTGGAAAGCCAAACTGGGGCGGATATTTCCCGAGGAAAACCTGAAACCACATCCGTATTTCCAGCCCTGCGGTCGCGTGGAATACTCAACTAAAAGAATGGTTGCCTGAGTAATTTTAAACACTCTTGCATATATTTTTTGCCAGCATCGCTTCCGAATTTGTTTTTACAGTGCCGCTATGGTGGACTCTCCCACTAAGAGGAAGACTTTTGTGGTCCCAGACATAAAGCCATTGGATTTGTATGACTGCAGTAAATCAAAAATATGCGCAAGTGTAGGATGGCTGTTGGCGAAGTCCTACGGGAGTTCAGGTAGGTTTTTGTTCGGGCATGGTGGCTTAAAATCCTGTTTTACTCGGGACCTCCATTCTTTTGTTGTCTGGTAATGTGTTTACATTATATTAGTGAAATGCACATGCTTATATTGTTCGACGATTTTAGCACAAAGAGCCGCATGTGAAAAGAGGACGCTGGCACTGTATGCATTTTTTTTTAGGACAGTGACACATGTCATTTATTGTCTCTTTGGGTATGTATGTCAGAGAAACGGGCCTCCTCTTGTAGGCCTCCCTTATCAAGCTAACCACTCTGTCCTAATACCAGCCCTGAGGTCTGAAATGACAGGCTACACAGACATGGTACACAAGGCATTTGTGTTCTCAAATATGTTCTTTCATCTGTGATAATAGCAGCTTAAACCAGGCAGACTGAACTGTGGAACCAATAGGGGTAGATGAATTCCCTTGTTAAATAATATTCTGCATTCCTCCATGGCAGCTTTTAAATTATTAGACATTCTCCAGTCAGCAAAACTCCTGATTGACAAACCATCCAGCCGCTGTGATGCAGGAAACTTCCAACTTAAAATAAGTAGTATTTTTACATACAGCTCAGATATGTGTTTGGGTTGCTTAAGCTCTTGTCAGCTTTGACCCTGATATGTTGACGTGTGGCTTTGTTTTAGAACACCAACTAGGAAAACATTAAAACTCACACAGAGGAAATGAGACACCTAAGTAGTCATGTGTGCCTTTTCATTCTAGTTGACTTTAAATTTTACACAAACGACTCTCTCATCAGTGAAGTGATATGCAATTGACTTTAAGGTAGTTTAATCATATGTACTGAAAGGTTTAGAGAAGATTATAAATCTTTCTCATTTTGCCAATAAAGTTGTTTTATGTATGTGAGCTATTTTGTTACACAGTGCTACACTGATCCTGTGTTTAAGACTCCAGGCTGTTGCCACCTTTGTGTACTCAGTTTAGCACCTCAGCCACACCCTATGGTCAAAGTCATGCCAAGCCATGGGGATATAACAACAAAACACTGTGATCATGTTTAGTTTCTGTCTTAATCAACTCAATGGCCTTGCTGGTAGAATCATGCAAATTCAGGATGACATCAAGTCCTTTCCCAGAAATTCAGCTGGTTAGGACAGATAGCCCAGGATCATTTTAGCTTTTCAAGGGCAGTTAGCTTATTTAAAACGATAGACGACATTTTAACACATTTTAATGGCAGTCTTTAAAGACCTTTCTAAGGGATGTACGAAAAGCTTTATCATCGAATGTATAAGCTCCTCAAAAATAAATCTCTATTTAGTCATAATAATCTGCTTAAGAGGTTGAATTAAAATATTTATGTTGGCATGAAAAAAGGTATTGAGGCTTAGGGACCAGGACAGCAAGTAGGTTAAACATAATCATTATTCATTTAAGCAAAGGAGCATTCAAGGAAATAATCAAAAGGCTAAAAATACTGAACTAGAATTTTAATTTCTCTATTACCTTTTGGCAATGACATCTAGATCCGTTGCATGTATTCTTAGAGGACTGTGACATTGTTTCAAAAATGAACTTGGATATTTAAATAGGTAACGAAAACATGATCCACATGGACTGTCACTATGGAAAAATGATTAACAAATCATCTGAGGGTGACTCAAGCTAGTGCTCCATTAAGCTGGAATGAAACTCAAGGTTTACCTGTTTAGGCTAGGAGGACGCTTGTTTTTCAATAAGCAACACTTGCATGCCTTCAGTTTGCTTAAGCCACGTGTTTGTCTATTTTAATGCTGTTGTATAATAAAACGGTTGTTTTTTTTTTAAATATGTTATCAGACAATATTTCTGGTAATGTCTAGGATGGGAGTATTCAACTCCAGTACTTAAGGACCAATGTCCTGCAACTTTTAAGTGGGAATCAACTGGCTCAATTAAGCATACAGTATACAATCGAGCTCTACATTGTCCTGCTAACATCCGGGTCATTTGACTCGGGTTTGATGAAGGGGAAACGCATCTAAAAGTTGCAGGATGCCAGCCCTCGAGGGCTAGAGTTGAATATGCCTGGTCTAGAATGTTTGCTTGTTGTTAGTGTTCGGTCAGAAAGTTTAAATTGTGTACAAGGTGATTTTCTTTAAGACCAAGCCTTTCACACTGTTGCTGAATTTTACTTTAAATTTCAGGGACTTCAGGTCAATTTACCCATTTGCCAAATCATACAGCCATTTTGTGCCTTTGTATTCTCCATTTCAAACCTATACACAAATCATTTTGTACCCATGGACTTAAGCCATTTTGTTTTAGTGTAAATGTGTATTTTATTGACGTACTTTCATGAGTTACAGACAAAGACGTTTGTACAAATTCTCAGATTTTATGTAAAATATTATTCAAAGATGAGTTAATACCTGAAAATTGACTCCTTATTGTATGAACCACTGTAAGAAAGGTCATTTACCACTCTCTTATAGGGGACTTGGATTTGAAGTGCATCAATATCTAATTTAGAGTTTGTTTCTATCATCTCTTCATATTGCATACTTGCCCTCTCCTCTAGTGTTGTCCTGTTTACTTCTGAAGCGGTCGTAACGTAATCACTTTCACCCTATAGGATGTAGCTCAGTGTACACTGGCCCTTTAATGCAATTAAGCCTCGCGTGCTGCAGTAGAGCAGTGCCTGTGTTAATGTTACAGGATACAAAGGGCTTTCAGGCCTAGCATGTTTATCGTAAGTGGATCTTTGAGGACGCTTCATATGTTATGTTTTCTCTCTCAATCGGATTGTGGTTCAGAGATCAATATTTGCTTGCTTTCAACACTGTTTTAGCCACACAAAGAAAGTATTTTGTTCTATTTATTTTTTTCATCTTAATGTAAATTAAACTGGAGTTTTTTTACTTTCAAACCTCGCCGCTGCACATCGGTAATGATAATGATCAATGTGTGGTTTGAATTTAAATGTTCTGTAATATAGTTGATAAAAATTAACTTTGGTGGTCTCTGTTGGTGGTGTTCTGAGATTGAGTGGTTACATGGAGTGTGGGCTGCTATCATTGCTCTTCTGACTAGAGCTAAGTTTTGGGACAACAGAACAGTACCTGCTTTGTTCTAAAAATAAAACCCAGTAATCATACGTGTTTGATCCTTTCAGCCACATGATGAGGAAATCTGAAACAACAAGCAGTAATACACTGAATGTCAGTGAATTATTCACTAAATAACAGTTTTTAAAAGTTTTCAGCAGGCATTTGCCCATCAGACCTTCTTTAAATCTGTTGTTCTTAAACTGTAAGGATGCTGTTCTTTCATTCTCAGGAACCTTTCTTACTTTGAACATTTGAGTGCCAATGTTTTGCACAGAAGCCTGTTCGGCTGTGTATTATGACCACTTTGAGAGATGTGTTAATGTTCTATGACCCCGCCGGTATACTGGCTCAATCCGTCAATGAAAAGGGACACGTTCCCTGTTATCCAACTGTCCACGTCAGTTTAGATACCAGCTAGCACAGCAGACCTGACTGCAGCTTTGCTTGCAAATTGTCAGTTCCTCCAGACTTTTCAAAGCTTTTTACAGTTTTTCCATAAATAACTGTTTTGCATATCTGCTCAGTTACCTTTTCTGTTAGCATGAATAGGAAAAGGTCAAAGTGAGCTGCATCTGTTGTCAGGATTTACTGTATTTGATCCACAGATGGACAGTTGCTTCCTTATTTTACCTGGAGTAATCTGACAGTGGTACTGACTGAGTCAATAAACTTTGCAAACTTTTGACTTTTGCCTTCTCACTCAAGCTAATAGATAAAGCACCGACTCATGGCCTGTAAAAACGAGATGTTCTTGCACCAGCCTAGGCAAACAAATATATATATATTTTTTTTTTATAAAAATGGTTTTAAACAATTGTATACATTTCAATACCAGCAAATTATGTTGTTTTGCTATGTTATGATAAGTTGCATTCATATCATAACCTCCCATTTGTTTCACTGTTTAAATGGCAAAAATTTGACTTCATAGTGAGTTCTTTATGCATCTGCTACTTGAAATGTGCCACTGGCTTTAAATTGATATGTGACGGATTAAGTCATTGTTCATGGTAAGTCACATAGGGAAATTATTCTCAGATCAGTCTTTCTCATCTCGCTGAGTTGTGGTATTTGCATCCGCTTTGCCTTCTAGGGGAGATTTTACAGCATTTTTATGTATGTATACATTAACTACTTTAGCTGCTGACGGGTATTTATAACGTTAATGTGAGCACTGTTGGAGTTTTAGCTTTTGAGACTTTAATATTGAAACAAATATAACGAGTGATGATCAGTTTTAGACTCAAAGGTTCAAATGTTTTCTGGTCTTTCATTACTGATGTTTCCATTTCTAAAGGACCTTTGAACTCTGAGACACTTATTTACAGACACCATTGGGTGCGTTCACACTGCAGCCTGAAGTGACCCAATTCCGATTTTTTAGCAATTCCGCTTTTTTTGCCTGGGCCGTTCACACTGCCAGTAAATGCGACCTGTATGTGTTCTGCAATGTGAACGGGCAAACGACCTGAAAGTGTCCCGCATGCGCACTAGAGGGCGAAATAACGTCAGCGTTCTCAGTGTTCTGTCAACTGCCATAAAAAGAAGAAGTGCTCAGTGTTTGCGGAAGTAAATATGGAGGCTAACTGTGGAACTTAGCTTACATATTTGAAGTTGTTGTCCGGCCGGAGCAACATATTAACAACTTAATCCTCATATAGCCGTCATGGTTGTCGTTTTCTTCTCGCTTGCGCGTATCAGGACGCAGAATAGTGAGATTTGTTGAGAATCAGTGATGTTCAGTTCGGATGAATGCAACCTGAACGTTGTTCCTGAACCTGCTGTTCACACTGCCATGAAAAGATCGGATACAGGTCGCATTGCGTCAAAAAAATCGGAATTGGGTCACTTCAGGCTACAGTGTGAACGCACCCTATGTTTTTGTTCAAAAATTGCTTTATTTGTGGGTGTGTCGAGTACGGTTTTAACACATTACTTCTAGTGTAATGTTGGTAATCTAGATCTTAAATACTCAATGACTAGCCTAAAGACGTGCTTAGTTTTCTTTCTTATTCAGATTTGCAGGAGAAAGGTGTCATAACTCTTGGTGCATTAGGTGAAGGTTGGAACTGGGAAGTTATAGCCATTAGTCTGTTGTGTATGCTTAGACAGCAAATTCTTCTTAAGGTGTATTACTTGTAATTTTTCTTTAATGTTTTTTTTTTGTTTGATTTTTTTCCAGTAAATCTAGTCACTTAAAACTTAGAAAGTTCTTTTGTATCTTTGTGTTTCACTTTGAACCATACATTTAAAATCCAATTATAAGTTAATATGCAACCACAGAGACAAAGAATTAATTTAATGTTCAAACTTTGTTTTTATGTTTTTGAATGTTGCTTTTGTTATTTTTTGGGGGGGTCTGTATTGTTGCAAATACGTACATTGTAACAATACTGTGACTGAAAGATGACTCTTTATTAGCTTCCTGTGGTTGATGAGCAGATGGGAATTTTAAAAACTACACAACAAAACCTGCTGTATAGAACTCTCAGGTTATCTGTACTTTTTTTTTTTTTTTTAAACGGACAAACAAAATTTTTTGATCTCCCCGTTGTCAGATACATTGAAGGCTTCATGGTATTATATCCTAAGAGTAGATTCTTAAAGATTGCAACAGATCCTGAAAAGGTCATCAAAAATCAGGCTTCTCTGAAAACAAATTGATTTACTGCCTCTTGGTATTTTGACCTGAGTAAGTCAGGCACCTTCAATTAATATCTGAAAATTGTCAGCTAGTTTCAGAAAAGCACATGTGCTCAATAAAAATGACATTGAAAAAAAAAAGCTGCAGAGCATCTCGTAATTTGGGAGTTCCAACTTTTTGAGTTTATCGTTACGTTTGTTTTTCTACTTACTTCTGTAATTATAACTGGGTGGTATAAACAGCAGGCTTAATCTGCCCCTCTTTGTCTTAAGGCAACTTTTGAAACCAGCTAACTGTTTTGTGTTGGTCTCTACCTGAAGTTATTGAAAATGGTAAGGATGATAATTTTTTTAACACATTTTTGGGCTTAAAAATGTATCAAGCAAATTATTTTTCTTTACTGTTTTAGTTAATGTATGAAAATAATTTGCAGTTCTACTTAAGCACCAAATTACAATTCAATAGACAAGGACCAAGAATAACTTGTTCATATAAGGCACACATTTTTTTTCTACAAAAGTTTAAACCCATTCTACTTTCCGTATCACTTGACATCCAGGAAGTGTTTTTGTTTCCATTTATGCCCTTCCTTGGGAATTTTTCTGTCTTTTTCTACAAAAGTGTTTTGCCATCTGATATGTGAAGCTGTTTGGTTGTAGACAAATTTTCTCTGTTTACTTCATAAGTGTGACGGTCATGGCTAACCTTGAGTCTTTGGATTGAATGCAAGATCCCACTGTTATACAAATATGTTTTTATTATTTTATATCTGCTTCCAGAGCCTTATTTCAAAATCTGGTTTGCACGCTTCTGGCTGAATTAAATGTTCCCTCTGCCACTTGTTAAGTCGTAGTTTTGCTCAGTAAGTGTAGTAGCTCATTTCCAAACTCCTCAGGTTTGTTATTTTTGTGCCCAAGGCTCTGCTTGCTTTGTTTACAGGTGTGGATGAACAGTGCATCACCTCTTAGACATCCGTTTAATCTTCCTGAAGGTGTTTCCTGGTTAAACAGGATTCTAGCTCAACCCTTTTTAATTTTATATTTTAAGTAGTTCCTCCATAACTTTACCTACACATACCCTTGTGACTTTAATATCTTAACACCCATTTAATTTGGGTTATTTATAATTACTCTTGAGTTATTTGTCTGTTATATAACCTGTACCTGCCCTACAAATGACCGTTACCAAACCATGGTTTTAAAATGCTAATTGATCTAATCATAATCTGTTTTTGTCCATTGATAGAAAATGTCCCTGCAGAGCTGCGTGACCCCTTCTACTGTGACCAGTATGAACAGGAGCATCTTAAACCTCCAGTCACACGCCTGCTGCAGTCCTCAGAGTTGTACTGTCGGACCTACAGCATCGTAATGGGGAGTACTGGATCGGAGGCACAGCCCAAAGACAATGTCGCCCTGCTGCAGATCCTCACCCAGAGAGGTGCAGTCGCCAAAGATCAAGGATCCACAGTGACTGAGGCAGACCTGCGATATAAACCTATCAAAATGGTAATGTCTGCCAAACTTTTTGTGGAGCTTTTTTTTTTTACCTGTTTTTGCAGAACAGGGTGAAATTAAGACTTTAAACTCACCTGATTTTTAGTTATGTTTAAAATGGGTAATTGCACAGACATCTGCATCACCTCTTTATTCACTAAACTGCCTCCAAAATCCAGCGCTAGGCAAAAATGTAACGAGCAGTTTTTGCTCAAATTCAGAACAGTAACGTAATGAACAGCAATACGTTGTGTGCATGATATGCTTATTATTTTTTGTGCCTTATGTTTCTCTACTGAAGCCAGTTCTGTTATTCAGAACAAAATAGAAGAGGTCAGATTCACTTTACTGTTATTGGGCCATGTTTATGCTTTGATTCTGGGGATTAAAGGACATCAAAAAGACCCTTACTCACTGAGCCCTTCCCCCAGTGCCATGCACGTCCCTAACTGATCTCAAAAGATGAGTGGTTGCAGCTGCAAGGATGAGGGCATGACTACTTTACTTTCAGGGTGTGAGAGGGAGATGGAGTCCATGTACAATAGAAGGTCCAGATCAGAACAATAGCTAGAGAGTTCTAGTGAAACTTTAGCTGCTGTGTTGAGAGAATACATTGAGCTGGCTCAGTGAGTTTAAATCAAGAGAAACAGGTTTGTCCTCTTAGCTGCTGACAAAGCCTCTCTGTATGTCTTTCACTCTTCTTGTGACATTATATTGCTCACAACTCTTTAGCCTGAAAATGAATTTACTATATATAGAGAAAATATAATTTTTGTATATGATTTGTGTTAGGTAGATGACATTTAAAACGGCTTACTGTGCAGTTTATATAAACCATACCATTTACACCGATCAAAAGCCCACAAAATTTGTGCACACACATGCTGTTTTTGAAAACGAGGCCCACCTCTGGGATTTGTAGGGAACACTGTTGTGCAGGGACTCATGTTTGCTCCACTGCAGCCGATTGCTTGGTACCACAGCTTGTACTGTACACCTGATGGCAGCAGTCTTTTTTTGTTCTCATTTTTAGTCATTGGTTGCATTTCAGTGACATAAAAATGAAATCTTGCTGTTCACTGAATCCAGCAGAGATGGGTTAATACCATGTCAATATGAGCTTACACACAACAAAAGACAGGAATGCACAATCAGTGGGCCGACAGTGTTGTTGGTTACAGTGCTGTCCTGTTGGCTTCCATAGGCAGCACTTTGGATTTTGTTCTACTTTGCAAAGAATGCTTCTTAGGCATAAGAGTTGGTGTTTGGAATGGGCTAGTTTTCTGATGATGAGCCAAATTTCAACCTTGGAGCAATATGGCCCATAATCAATTGAAGCAGTTATTGCAGAAAACTGGTCAGTACTTCTTGTTTTTATTTTATTTTGATTTATGACTATTTGCTCTTTAAAGCTGGATCCTCATTCTAGTATAGATGAGCGGTAAACTGTTTTACAACTGTATAAAGCTTTTTCAACCAAAAGACAACATGTTTTTGTTATTTACCCTTTCACGTCTTTTTCTGATTATTTACATCCGGCATATTTTCAGCATCATACTAGCACAATAACAAGCACATTGGAGCATCAAGTGCTTTCTTAATCCTCTCAAAAGCTTTTTGATAATTGCCATTTTCTTCTTATTTCATGTCTTGACACCTACTAAAGGAAAGCTAAAAGATTTGTAAATGTAAATACACAGGTATCCGTCATTTGGTTGTCATTTAATGCATTTTGTGCATCTCAGTTTTTTCCACTTTAGACAATGGCTGTTCTCCGTGTTATCACTTAGGCATAAAGCTCTTCTCTGACTGTCTCTACCACTGCTGCAGTCGCTATTTGGTACTGTAGTGTATTATCCCCCAGTTATGGACCACTTTTGGAGTTTGTCTGCCAGTGACTGGCAGTGCAGCTTTTATGGCAAGCATAGAAAGTGGGTCATGCTGCAGTATTACAAGGATGGAGCATCAGTGTGGTTCCTTGCCAGTAAAACAGCTTTTGCAGCAGTGGCAATCTGCTGCAGGTTGGCTCTTTGTTAAAGCTTCACATTTCTCTAGATGGGATTCACAGCTATGCTTCTCTACTACTGCTGCGGCCAAGTAATTTGCTTTTACACTGCAGATTTCATGTGGAAAGGTCAAGGTTGTTGCATTAGCGTTGTTTACTGATTTTTGGAAAACTGGGTTATATTTAAATCCAAACACGGCAGATCAACTAAAGTCGATGTTTTGTTTCTTCTTGCATCTACATCAGGCTGGAGCTTTGGTTATCTGTAATGAAAACAGAGACATAGTTCCCCTGTTAAAGTGTACACTGTTTCTAATCAAGAAAAAATGTTATTTAGTTAAGATGGATCCTACTTTTTTATGTTTTATCTTGATTTTGCTTCATTTAATATTTTGTAAAATGTTCTTAATCAAGTAAAGATGTTTGTTGTTGTAATCAAAGTCTTCTATATTTTAGTCAATGAGGATCTATCAATATTTGGGTTATTCTGCTTGCATCTGCCCAGCCCCCATTACTCCTCAGATTGAGGATAAAGATCTCTGAAGATTAGGCATAATCTATTATATAGACTGAACGTCGTCTTTCATGATTGGCCGACATCCTAGAGATGACCACTGACCCCCAATTTCACATAAGTGGATGATTGCAGTGCTTTTTGAACAAAAAGTGGATCTTTTTAACTAAAAAAAAGAAAACGTTTGAATTCCTGTATTTTCAGATTTTCATTGAATCAAAATTAAAACCCGTGTTTTAGTTCAGAGGAGATCTGGAGAAGAAGAAGTGACGCTGGACACCATTTGGGTTTTGGGGCGAACTGGACATTCAGCACATCAGTGTGGCTACAGAGACGAACTGTTTTTAATCCTGTTTCGCTGATTAACTGCGGCTGCTGAAGGAATATTTATAGACCTAACAAAGTTTATTCTTTCTACATTTTTCTAATAATCAACCCGTGTGTGTAAATGTGTGTGAGAGAGAGATTAACATTTATTTAAGGGAAATTTTGGGCTCCTAATGTAAACTTTTTTGTTTACATTGAGACAACCAGGTCTCATTGACTCCTTTACTTCAGTAACTCTGAGCCATGTGAGTTATGCTTAAGATTGTGAAATGAGAGGTGTGACTTGAAAACCATCAGCCTTGTTGTCTAGCTGGCCTCTCCCGCCATGCCAGCTCTGCCTTTTATGTTCACCTTTAGTGAGGGTTTGCCAGGATGGGTGGGTGCAACACAAACTGATTAGTCACACCTTGAAGCAGTTTTACAATATCTGGTATTGACATTGATGTAATAAAGTTGATCCCAACGTAGCTAGATTTCATTCTTGTCCTGTATTGCGTTTGTTATATCAGACACACTGTCTTAGGGAGTAGTGCAGGTTTCTGGTTAAGCGAACATCAGTCAAGAGCTTAGCTGAAACCGTTAATATAATGACAACCTTATACCATTTATTCTGCTTTGGTCTGTTGCTCTTTAGGAAAATAGTTGTTTTTATTAATTAATCTTTGAAATGTGCTGCATTTATTTTCGTGTACGTTTATTTTTCAGCTGATTTCCCGTGGTTAAGTGCAAGGTTCATGTACATATGGGTATTAACCTCTTTTCCAAAATCCCTGGCTGGGCCCCAGGCCTGCTTGATCCCCCTGTTTGTCTCCCCATCAAACAGGAACAAGGCAGGGATGGGGGATGGGGTTAAGTCATATTTCAGACGTAATCCCCTCAACATGACTTTGTCTAAAGATCAACATAATTCCTTTTTCTTGCCTTATTTAACAAATATCCTGTAAAAGTAGACTTTGTAATCATGTTTTAGATGTTTAATGTTAAAGTGATGTGTTGTTTATTTTTGCTCTCTGCAAATATATTCCAGAGGTGCGGGATGTTTCAGAGAACCAGGGTTAAGCCAGGAGCACAAATCAGTACTGCAGTCAGGCTTGTACTCAGATGCATTATGGGTCAGCTGGCTGGTTGTTATGGTGATCTGGCAGGCTCAGAGCTGTGTGCTGGAGTGGCTTCTCTCTCTACTCATTAGGGAACCTTGTGATTTAGCTTAGCAAACTCCCCTGGGTCTGCAGTGGCAAATCTGCAAGTGGCTGCAGCTCATTCTTCCTGTTCTGTTTAACTTTTTTTTTTTTAAATATCTTAAATCACCACTGTCATTTGAAAATCGCATAACCCAACAAAGGCAGAGTTGGCCACATTCGGGGACACATGTGTGGCTTTTTTTGTTGTTGTTGTTGCCTTTCGTGTTGAGCTGTGGTAGAAATCTAAAGCTAAATGTAGAAATCTGTTATGATTAGAAAGTACTTTGTGTTTTATAGATTTTAATAATATTTTTATACGTTACAGTATTTTTTTTTTTTCTAGAACATTTCCCTTTTTAGTGGAGTGCAAAATGTTTTGAGCTACGTCTCCTGAACAGGCAGATGTGGGAATCTCACAGGCAGAACATTTTTGAAACGTGCAAGACGCCACACTTGCATGTTTCATATTTGTATCTATTTAGTCGTGGGCATTGTAGGAATCTTTAATATTTGCTTTTTTTTTTCACTGTACTTTAAACGTGGAAAAAAATTATACGACAAATTACAACTGCTGCTGTTGTGGTCACAGCTTCTGAAGAGGACGGTAATACGCCTGACATTCATAATTCTGATGATTATGACAGCTTGTTTATCATTTCATTCATGCACTGTGCAGTAAGTAATATAGATTACATTTAACAGAAACTACCAAATCTATTAACAGATCATTTTGCAAAACACAAGAAGTGTTTTATCTGTTATTAACACTGGTTAATAAATCATATGCACAATCCTCAAATCTAATAGGAAGCAAAGAGCTGGTCGTTTGTATTTACCAAAAAGGCAAGCTGTATTTCATAACCATGACAGTAACAGCTTCTTAGTTTGTCAACAGTATTTGGAGGGCAAACCAGCGAGGGCCTCAGTTGCTGCTCTGAATGACTCGTCTACAGAATAACCCAATATTATCTGACAAATGTTTTCTGGCATAGCCTGCTCTGCCAGGGGTCTGCCCAGGTCAGCACTTTACCGCTGGGTTCAGTAGGCAGACATGTATGCCAGGATGACTGTTGGCTACACTGCTACTACTCCTCCGTATCTGGGCAAAAGTAAAAGGGAAAGGATGTCTGGCAAGTGTATTCGTTAGTAGTTAAAGGAACTAGGCAATGATTTTCCCAGATTAAGCTCCAAAGTGTTGATCAACTGGGTAGCCTATTGACAGGAATGAGTTGATTTTAACCAGTCTTTTCTTTTGTAAGTAATTAACAAAAGCAGAACAGCTTTATATGTTTGAGGATGAGGGACAAGCTGTTAAAAGAATAACCTCATGTGCAAATAATTGTAATCTTACTTTTTAAACGTTTTGTCCTTCTGTAAGGACTTGTAATTATATCTGGTCTAAATAAAAAATTTCTTGTTGATGGTAAACCAAAAAAAAAAAAAATCATTATTAAACTTGAATAAACTAGAAAAAATAGGTTTAGATATGTTTGAATTGTAACACTGTAGTGCAAGTAGAGCACAACTACTAATAAGTTAACAGGTTTAAAGAATTAACTTTCTCGCTTTGACTGAGCTGATAAGGTTGGTACTACATTTAATGAGCTCTGTAATGACCTCCTGTGCATGAGGAAATACCCAACGGATATAGCTGCAAATATGAATGTTTTCATTTATATTCTGAACTCACATTCAACACATAATTTAGTCTTAAACCTAATAAGATTCACCTCTTCTTTCATGGGGTTTTTCTTTTTGTATTGTTTTCTTGTTGCATAGCAGCCTTTTTTTTCCATCTGGCATATCCTACATGTGTGTTTTTTACATGAGTCATGGAAATATTTCACTGTGTAAAGGGTAACACAAAAAAAGGGAAAATAGATGAAGAGTGACGGCTCTAGGACCTGTGTGTTATCATATTACAAGTCTGCGCTCTATTTAATGATTTAATGAATGTACAAACACGGGTCCAAAGTTCACCCACATCTACTGTTTTGTGTTTGCCTGCTGAAAAAAGTTTGAGACGTTTCTTTTTTCCTGGTCAACCAATGGGTTATAGTGACCTCTAGAGGATACTGCTAGTAAACAGTGACAGCCCTGCAGCGGGCAGAAATTATATCTATTGATTAAAAACAACTGTTCAAAAAATATTGTATTCACTAATTAGTTGATGAGTTTAATTCCTTTTCTTTGTCTTTTGGGATTTTTTTTTTTTTGCAGAGTGCCCATCTTGCAGTGATAGATGCCTTGATGGCGGTGGGAGCCATGGAGACTGTGACTGCAGTGAAGTCGTGTGGCTCTGCTGAATTACTGGATGGAGCTGCTAGTTGGGAGGATGCTCTGCTTCACTGGGTTAACGTGGTAAGGAGTAAAACAAAGCATGTTTTAAACTCAGATTTCTATTATTTTTGAACGTATTGATTTATTTTTATCCCCCTCTTGTTGGAGACATATTGCGCGAATTCAGATTTACTTGTGATGTATGATTTTATTCTATGTTTTCTTACAAATATCTGTGGTTAGTATGGATTTTAACAGTTCTGACAATCTGTTCTTAGTTAAACCAGAAGCTGCGAGATCGCACTGAAGGAGCTCAGACTGACTCGTCTCAAGCAACAACAGAACCCCAACCTGTTGAGCCTTCTGTGAGTATTGCTGATATCCAGAACAACTCGGCACATGAACCTCTGAATCTTTTCAGGATTACTTAAAAGGGTTATATTTAAACAAGAAGACATTTGATCCGTGCAATTAATTTTCTGCAAACTTTGTAAACTAAGTGACTTTTTTCAGGTGCAGTTAATCTTAAGAAGTCAAAGTGAGTTTTAGTAATGGCCAATAATAAGGACAATGCTACAAATATTAGTTTATGCCTATTTGCTTTTGGATGAAACACTCACCTTTTTCACAAGAACTGTTTTTTGTAAACAGACGAAATTTCAGGATCAGTAATATCTAGTAAAATAAAAGCAACAAGGGAGAAATACACAAAATAGGATGAAAGTGGACTTCTGCAAACTTTACAACAACCTCAGACATGGAGCACTTGATAAAGCAAATTTCTTTTGCACTTTCAAAAAGCTGTCCGGTTTGTCTTTTTCCTCCACTATGATCTTAATACCTGTCCCTGTGCTCCTGTTCTCCATTCTCCTCCTTTTTTTCTTTTTTTCTGTTACTCTCTCCTTTGCTCTGACAGTGTCCTACACGCTGGTATTGGAAACTTGTTCCTGTAAGTTCCCTCCTCTTTTCTGCATCCATATCCGTCCATCCTTCCAGTGTCCTCATCAAATTTCTCAAAATTCTGATCAGGTCTGTTCTTTTAATGCCCATGAGCCGGTTTGAGTTTGCATTTTTGAATCAAATCTTTGTTTGCACTGAACGGCACTTGATTAAAAGTATAACAGCAATGCAGTTTCAGGATGGGTCCAGAAGGCATCATTTATGGAGACATGAGGAGTGCATGAATCATTGTTTTAAAAAAGCTGGACTTTGACTGCCATGTGTATGCTGGTTTCTTAGATGCTTTGTGTTTGCACGGGTTTTACCATTGAGGAGTTTAGGCAGGTGGTTCCTGCCTTGTTTTGTATTCTGCAGTACTACCTGAAAAGTTTTTCCCCCTCTTTCTCTTTCTTGAGGCTCTCTTGACCCCCTTTCTCACTTCCTTTTATCTCTGAAATAGTTTTTGTATTTGCCTCGATAACAAACTCAACCATTCTCACCTCCTTTTGCATGTCCTTAGCTGTACTTTTTATTTGTCCTCTTTCTTTGATTCAAAAGTAATTTCTGACCTGTCGCAAGCAACAGGTGGCCACAAGAGTGCACACGTGTGTCCTTAAAGAAATGACTAACACGTCAGATTAAGTTATTAGTAGTCATATTAATTAGTTTGATTTTTTTTTTTTATCTGTTTTTATAGCTCCGCTACAGGAAGGATAAAATTCAGTCCAAAGTGAAACCGATCTTTCCAGAGGTGAATGAAGTTAAAGATCTCTCCAGTGGTTGTGCTGTTGCTGCTGTCATACATCACTATTGCCCTGGACTACTAAGGCTTGAAGGTACTGACATATATTTTTTAATTCTGTGCTTTAACAGAGTGGCTTTTAGCAAGATACAAATTATAGCTCAACAAGTGGATGATGGTAGCAGCTCATACAGCAAGAACAACACAACACTAAATTCCCATTGAGATTGACAGTGATTTTGATTTTAATTTATTTAAACTTTGTTTTATCTCTAGCAAAAAAGGCATGATCCAATTTTTCTTTTGGTCAACTGTTTAATTAAATATATAAATTTGGACAAAAAAACAATACCTTTAACTTTAAAAATGTTCCTATTAACAAAACCTATAAATATTAAAATAATTTGTTAAATGTATTTGAAAAACTCAGAACAGATGAGACTGAACTTCCAATAAAGAAAAATTAATCTTGAGTGTCCTGTTTAGTGAAAAACAAAACTGAGACTTGTTCTTGATACTTAATTGCAATGATGGTTATTTCATATTGAATTTAAACTTGGCATACATTTCTGGAATAAATAGACATTTCGAGGCATTTTGAAAACTATTTCTAATTATTATTATTTTTTTGGTACGGGTCCTCCTTGGTCTATTAACAGAGAACGCAAATCACCAACCATTTACCTGGTAAATGCCTCTTCACACATCTGTTCACATGGGAACACTGAACTCGTTTACATTCTGAACTCGTAGTTCAGAATGTAAACGAGTGGAACGGCTCTTTAAATAACTATACTGGAATCCACAAGTAGTGTGATAACCTCAGTTCACAATTCAGTGCAATTCAGTTTATATCCAAAGCACCAGGTCACAACAAATGTTGTCTCAAGGCACTTTACAAAAAAGTCAATTCAACCTGATCAAAAGTCAATTACATGCATTCCAAATTGATCCTAGTTACTTATTACTTGAGTTAATGATCCTAGTTACTTATTACTTGAGTTAATATAATGACAACAGGTCATGTCTGTCAGTTTAACACTTTTACTCCTCTCTGTAAGATGTTTGTATGAAGGACTCCATGTCGGTATCGGACAGCTTGTACAACCTGCAGTTCATCCGAGAATTTTGTGACAGCTGTCTGAAGGGTTGCTGTCACTTGACACTTGAAGATATGCTATACACACCACAGGAGCTTCAGGTAACCACTCTGTCATTATTTGACTTGTACATTAAAATTACATGATAGTTCTCTAATGTCTGACTTGATGCGTGTCATCCTGTAGCTCAATTTTCTGAGTTTCCTGTCTGAACTGCTTTACTGGTTTGAAGTACAAAGGCCAGAATTTGTTCAGCCAATCAGTGAGTGTCACAGGTTTGCTTTCTTTTGTAAATGTTGAGCATTACTCCGAAGATGAAATCCTAATGGATCTAACATGGACTCAACTGGGTTCTCCTTTTTCATCAGATGAATCCACACCAGTGACACAGAGTAACACCAGTGGTAACGGGTACAGAAATGTTTTGATTTATTTATTTTAAATAAATTTAATAAATATTTATTTTGTATTTAGAGTTGTCCAGCAATTAGAGAGCTAAAACTACATTTTTTTTCTATTTTTCAGTACTTCTCCTAACATCTTCAAGAAGCCTTTTCTCCCCATTTCTTCTTCTGCATCAGGTATTAAGTCAGTCAGTTTGATTCCCCTCAGTCCTTGTTTTTGTTTCAGTTTTGTGGTGTTGTGTCCTTATTTCTACATATATATTTCATGCATATTTTGTTTGGTTATTGTGTGCATCCCTGTGATGTTTGCATGCCTTTATGTGTTTGTCTGTATCCCATTGTACTCAGGACCTTTGACTCAGTCTACCTCAATGTCTCATATAGAAGGAGTTGGAAAGACATGGAGCAAGAAACCTCTCAGGTAGTGCCAGTACACAGAGTACATAAACGGTTACATCCACCAGTTTGTTTTACTTCAACTTGCTTTCTTGTTTCTCTTAGTCGGCCCTTGTCAGCAGTATCCTTCAGCATCCCTTTTGGCCTTGACAGTGACGTTGATATAGTGATGGGCAACCCTGAAATAATCCGCTCTATGAGCTCAGATCAACTCAACTCAGCAGGCCAAAGCATGAATCAGCCCTACACTACTCCTGAAGACATTAGTCATTTGGTTGGTAAAGCCCCTGGACCAAACGGTCCTCAGAGAGCATCATGGGCCACACAGGCTCCCGTTATTCCAAGGCTGGCTGAGGAGAATGGACTTGAGACGAATGAAACTGGAGAGGTGCCCACCATTGAAGAGGCTCTCCAAATAATTCACAATGAAGGCAAGATGGAACCTAGATTACACCCTGATGGTGCTCCTGATGGCTTCTACCTCCACTCACCTGACGATCCTGCAAGTTCTAGATATGATGGCAATCTGACTCCCATAAGCTGCTCTGCCCCTACGCACTCAGGAATGATGTACCAGCCTAAAGAGTCCACCAGGGAGCCAGCTCGCACCAGAAACACCTCAGGATGTTCACGGGATGATGACTCAGTCTTGAGAGATGGCAGTTTAGATTCGGATGCCTTAGAAGACCTGCCAAAGGCCCAGTCGACTCCAAACACACCAGCTTCCATTGGCTATGTTAAGGATTCACCCGACAGTGGCGTGAAGATGACCAGCTTTGCAGAACGCAAAAAGAAACAGAGCATGGATTCTCCTAAAGGTAGCGACTCGTCTTCCCCTCAGATGACCTCTTGGGCACAAAAGTCTGAAGAAAGCCCAAGCAAGAGCCCACAACTAAATAATGAGATGACTGAACTGGGAGCTCGGCTTGAAGAAAAAAGAAAAGCCATCGAAGCCCAGAAAAAACGTATTGAGGCCATTTTTGCAAAGCATCGTCAAAGACTGGGGAAGAGTGCTTTTCTGCAGTTGAAAAAAGAACAGAATGATGTTGACTCTGAGGAGAAAGGAGAAGAAGATCTTTCACGTTTGACTTTGGAGGAACGACTTGCTCGACTGGAGGAGGAAGGGCAGGAACAAGATCAACAGCGCCTCTTTGTGGAGGATGAAATAAGTGGTAGAGGAGGACATGTGCTCAGAGAGGCCAGTCAGACACCTGGTGAAAAAACAGTAGCCCCTTTAGGGGATTATAACAACGCTGTGTCCAAGTTAACCGCAGCATTGTCCTCCCTGCAAACTGACATGCAGCGACTGAGTGAACAGCAGAATCAACTAATCAAGAAGAAACCTGCAGCGTCTACAAACAAATCTTGGGTTATTCCAGCCGACCCTAAGCCTTCCAACTCGGCTCCTCCTTCACGCGTCTCACGAGAATCCACCCGAGGTTTGAATTTAGCCTCTTCTTCTCCCTCACCATCACGCAAAATGGCAAACCCTTCTGCTCCTCCTAAATCTCCTAAAGTTCATCGACGAGCTCAGTCTGTACCCCCTAAAAGTCCAAAACAGAGTCGCCAAATGGACACAAAGTTCCCAAAGGATTCAAGGGTTCTCACCCCACCCCAGAATGTGGACCGTATCCCCCATCTTCGTCGAGTAAATTATTTACAATCCCAGGTTCAGACTTCATCCTCCTTCTCTATAGGCAACTCTGAAAGCCTGGATGAGCTACGTTCATTTGGGCCGACTCCCGTCCCCACACCTTCGTTGACTCCTATACCAACGCCACCTCCTCATCCTGCAGCAGACGATGCCCTGTCAGAAGTAGGCTCCAATGATGGACAGAGTATTTTTAGCATGGACATGGAGGCAGGTCGCTCACACAGTCCCCTGGTAAAGAAGGAAGGGCTTGCTAGTGCAGGATGCAGCTCTGGTGCCCCTTCAGAATGCTCCTTCGAGAGTGAAGCCCCAGCTGGAATGTCTAATGGCAAACGGAGTAGTTTAATTGAGATCTCACTCTCTGCCTTGCGAGCGGAGAGGGAAGAGGATGACGAAGTGCCTGACACATTATCAGATTCAATGAGTGATCGAACGGAGCCAGAATCGAAGGCAGGAGTCGGTTTCTTTTTCAAGGTTGGTGCTACATCTCATCTCATCTCATTGTTTTGGTATCTGGTAAACCACGGTTTAGGTGAGTGTGTTAATGGCTGTTCATGTCTACTTTTTTGTAGGATGACAGGGATCGACCAGAGGATGAGATGGCACAGCGAAGAGCAGCTTTTCTTGAGAAGCAGCAAAGGAGAACCGAAGAGATGAAGAGACGCAAACTTGAGCAGGAGAAGGAAAAAGAATCAAAGTAAGACTTTTCTTCTTTTTTCCACTTATGCAGCTGGTTGTATTACTAAATATGAACAGCAATGGTGCATACAACAAAAACAATTTTAGCAAAATAGGCACTCCCTAATGACTCAAGTACAGTCATATATGTTTAGATTATAGTTTTTAAATCATATTTGCATTTGTTATATTTGTATCCCCAGTATTATATATTTTGACATTGTGCTCTCTGTCTCCCTCTGCTCTTAGCAAGCCCCAGTGGATGATCATTGAAGGCTGGGGCAAGAATGAAGAAACACCCCAGGCCCCAGGCACCCCTCCGGCATCACGTACCCCACCAGCAGAAGGCACTCCCCAGCGCAGAGGAGACTTCACCAGGCAGGAGTATGAGAGACGACAGCAACTGAAGATTATGGAAGATCTGGACAAAGTGCTAAGGAAGAAACCTACAACAGTCCGTGATGTGAAGAAACAGAGACCTAAGACGGTTTTCAGAGATGACTCGGTTTTGTCCAATAGTCCCGTTAAAGGTAAAGGCTTCCGACACCACCACCAAATTTCTAAGTTTCAGAAACATTTTCTCTGCTTTTGCTTGTTGTTTTTTTTATAACATGCTCCTGTTGTTTTCTGTGTAGGAAACAGGCTGAACAAAGGGAACTTCCACTCAATGATGAACCTGTCCTCTACGATTAATGACTCTGGAGGGCTGACTGTCAGGAAATCTCCAAGGTAACATACACAGAGATGATGGTTTAAATTTATTCATGTAGGGGCTTTAAATGCTGGAACATTGCAATAGCCGTCAGAGAAAGAGGACCTGGATAATGGATTTTTACAATGAACAAGTGGTTTCATTATTTGTTTGTTTCTCCGTCTCTAGCTACAGTTGCTGTGGTAGTCGTTATCAGTGCTATCAGGTGCAAAGGTGATTGTGATGATTAATGTCTGTAACCCACTTATAGTTTTTTTTTTTTTTTTTTTTCCTAGCCGATCACACTCTCCCTCTCGGTCACGGCTAATGTCACCAGGGCGAAGGAGTGCCCAGAATGGGGAAAAAGACTGGGAAAATGGATCCACCATTTCCTCCCCAGCTTCCATTCCAGAATATACAGGTAGCTGATAAATTCATGGTTAAAGTTTGTTTTAAAAATGTGAGCATTGTTTTATTAGAACAGCATATCATGTGTGAAAACTGTTTTTCAGGACCAAAGCTATACAAGGAACCGAGCTTTAAGTCCAACAAGTTCATCATCCATAATGCTATCACTCGCTGCTGCCTGGCTGGCAAGGTTAATGAACCACAAAAAAACAAGATCGTCGAGGTAAACAATGCTGCTACGTTACGGTCTCACCAGGAGGCCCACGTGCTGACCTGCAAACTCTGCGTGTGTGTTTTTGTTTGTCTTTTCAGGAAATGGAAAAAAGCGCAGCCAACCATTTCCTAATCCTCTTCCGAGATGCCAGCTGCCAATTCAGAGCAGTTTACACCATGAACCCTGAAACCGAGGACATGGACCGGCTGACTGGCTTTGGCCCACGGAACATCAAACCTGAGATGGTGGAGTCCATTTACAAGTATAGCTCTGACCGTAAACAGTTCACCGTCATCCCGTCCAAAACCATGTCGATGAGTGTTGATGCCTTCACCATTCCTAACCACTTTTGGCAAAAGCGTCCAGGAACACCTAAAAAGTTGAACACCCCAAATTAAAGGCTCGCCTATGGTTGGGAAAGATGCTACAATTCAGGAAATATACACAGTTGACTCATTCTTCTTTTTTGGTTCACTGGCTAGTGTGGAGTGTCGGATTGTTCTGTTGGGGGGGGGGAATGGAATGACTGCTCAGGTATTTTTCCCGTTATCAGCTTGTACCCTGAGAACCGAAGTAGTGACTTGCCAAGAAAATGAGTCAATCACTCCTTAAATAAGCCACTCTAGCTAAAAGAGTTTATCTCCAGAGCTTCTGACAGGTTCTGAATGACCCATTCAGATTGTAAAATGTAATGGGACAAATTTCATTTGGATAAAAAAGGAAAAAAAAAAAAACTGTTTCCCTTTTCCTCCTCATGCTTTGCCTTACCCTGCCTTGTCTGAGTCTTGTTTTTTTGACTCGAAAAGGGTGGGGAGGGAGGAATTACACTGCCTTTGCCCGCACAACAGTATTTTGGGTACAAGCAGCTCCCACCCCTCAAAGTTTTGGTTTGGTTTCCTTTCGCTGCCTTTTCTTCTTCCAGGGCTCTGTTTCCCTCCAGTATACTGAGACACATGGCTCAGCTCTCTACTCTGATTGGAAATGAAGGCTGAAATGTATAGGCAGTTAACGCTGCTCTCATATGAATGTAGGGCACACGCTAGCCGCTCCTAGTCAGGACCAGAAAATACCATAGATTTACCAGAGGCTACTTTCACTGCAGATTGCTTTACACACTCGAAACTGCTTGTGCCCCATATTTTCTGCACTCCACTCCTTCAGCTGTAGACGTCTGGATGTTTTTTTTAATATACTTTTTGACATGCGTTTTGTTAGCAACTGATCGAGTCATGAAGAGCTGAAAGAAGAATGAAATATCCTGTGACTTTTCTGTTTATTGTTCTTTTTTGTTCATGGAAATAATGGTTTGAGCTTGTCTTGCGAGCTCCAGGGAAGGGACAAAGATGAAGGAGAGCTTCGTCATGTTTATCAATACTTGGATAAAGCTCTGTATGACGATGATAATCAATCTTGATTTAATATATACTGAATGCTGAATACTTTTTTTTTTTTTGACGATTTGTAAAAATTATGTTGACCTTTGTGAGCTACAAATAAGCTAGCCTGCTGCTTAAGCATTAGTGAGATGTATGTTTGAGATGACAGTGAGTGAATGAGAACGAATTTGAATTGTTCAACAGCTGAAGTTCCTGATACTGTTTTAGGATAAATAAATCATGTAGGTCACTGAGCTTGTTTCCTAATGCATTATTCCCTGTTTATATGTGCAGGCATATAAACAGTAGGTTTCTTAACGAAGGATCATTCTGGACTGTAACAGCCCTCGTCTACCCCACAGTCTCTTGAGACTCCTTCATGTACAACTGGGGAATGTAAAATGCCAAAAGCTTTTTTTTTTTTTCCTCAGTGCTAGTAAAAAAAAAAAAAAAAGACTCCAGAATTTCTTGATTAATTCAGTGCTGGCAGAAAATCTTGAAAATCAGCTCTTTCTTTGCAGTCTTGCAGCACTATTACAGTTGCCATAGTGCAGCTACCTTCTTTTAAAATCACAGAATGCCTCCATGTAATGTGCTGTTTGAAGGGGACTCCTGTGGATGCAATGTTGAAACCATAAATAAGAAATAAAATGTTGATTAAGTATGTGTGTGGGGGATTATGTGTAGATTTAATAGATGTTTGTATTTATCAACTTGTAAAGCTTCATATGTGGTAGTGAAGACTATATTTTGATTCTGTGCAATTCTCTCTGAAACTCCCCACATCATCCAGAGGTATATTTATTTCCATTTGAATTATTTGACAAATTTATTTTTTAGTTTGAGGTTCTCTGTCCTTTTCTCTCCATTTCTTTTTTTCTTTTTCTTTTTTTAATGGTTATATGTCAAATTGCCATTTCAGAAAAGATGTCATAAGTTTTTTTTTTTCTTCTGTTTTCTTATTTGCCAGTACATTTTGTATGTTCATTTCATTAAGTGACTCCTTGACAACTGGACCAGAAAAATAAAATCCTTTTTAAATCATCCACATTGATTTTGTTTTTCGTTATTTAATAATAATTTTTATTCACCCCCTCCCCCTCATATGTATGTTTTAGAATTTGCATGTGGACTGGAGACCTTCTTTGAAAAGATATACTGCAGCGTGAGAGTGAATAACACATTTTTTATTTTATATTTACAAAAGTTTTTAGACACAAAATTGCTTGACTACTGAATGTATTTTATTACTTTTGTTGAACAGTTTAGCTTTTCCTGTTTACATGAAATAAGATGACACTTGGGTCCTAATTTAACACTGATAAAGAAACCTCATAGCATGACCCATCTTCATCTTAGAACATCTTTGAAGGTGATAATTTTTCAAACTTCAACACCTCCTAGTTGTGCTTAGCGTGCAGCATCTCCGCAAGTAGAGAGTTGCAGGGTAAATCTCCAAGAAGGTGGCGCTGGTACAAATAGTCCTCAACTTGCAAGCTAATGCTGCGCACTTCTGGGAGCCGAAGAAGCAACTGCCCAAACTTGTCCGAGTGTCCCGGGTGGCTCTGCTGGGTATGTTCCATGAGAGCTCTGTTCACCCTCTCCTGAGTTTGCTCTACTTGTCTGCGGTTCTGGACTGACTTCACATCTGATGCATTTAAAAAAAAAAAAAGCACAAAAAGTGGGTTGAACAACTAATAGCAACTGCATTAATGGCAGATCAATAGTTGTTAAACTTGATTTTAACAACTATTGAATTAAGAACACTAACCTGGATTGAACAGGACAAGGTATTTAAGACAGACAAACTCGTGCCTGTCAAACTGGAGTGCCTTAAGTTTGAAAACAAGGTCTTGGGTTCTTGATACTAAGCTACTTAACATCGTTCCAGCCTGGGACATAATGGTTGACACTTCAATCTGCATCACAATAAATCACAGTAACAAGTGTGAGTGATGAAATTAAGCATGCCTCTAAATCTGTATAGATAAGTGTCTAATACTTAACCTGTTGACCTGTGACCAGATAAATACAACCTTCTTTTCCGTAAGTGACTTGTCTGCAGAGGTGGTCTAGGACCAGCAGCTCACTCCAACAGCTTTGCAGGAGCGACATCTGATCGTCCACCTGTCAGAAGCACCACGGTGTGTAAAGTAAAAGACTAAAACTCTAGAAACTGCATAGATATTACCCTGCATCTGACTGGTAGTGTAGCAAAAACGTCCTCACCTTGAGCTCTTTAAAGAGATTGCTGTTTCTGGCCCACTCCACAAGTCCAAACAGAGTCTGGTCAGCTATTTTGCACATGATGCTGAATGTATTTAGACAGTCATGCTTCCCTCGATTGGCCTGCTCTCTTTGCAGACTAGCCAAGACTTTGGTGCATAGCTGACCCTCATCTTGTTCACCCTCCAGGAGCTGGATAAGGAAGCTGGGAGAAGGAGTGGTTGGTGGAGGCGTTGTCTGAGTACCAGCCTGGGAAATAGCAGGAGCTGAGCTTGGTGTGGAGCAGGGGGAAGATGTCGGTGTGCATGTTGGCGTGAATGAATGGGCTGAAAAGTGTGTGGGAACGGGGTTGTAGCTGAAGCTGGGTTCCCCTTTATCCTGCAAGTATTCAGGGAAACCACAACAAAGTCCACGGAAAGGCACAGATGGAGGTGATAGCACTCTATGATTGTTCATGGTGCAGTCCAGAGGCATGGGTTGACAGCTTTGCTCCATCCCAGACGGATACATAATGTGGGATAGATGAAAAGCAGCTGAAGACAATGTATTGCTTGTTGGGCCACTTATTCGATGGTCATTTGGAGATTGGGGACCAGGCGTTTGCCTTGTTTCCATCTTAATCCTGTAGGGATCTGTGTTTGCCTTTTGTTGTTTCATCTGCCTGTCGCGTCTGTAAAGAGGCCCAAACTTATTCCTGCCACCTCTCATACGATCTGCTCTTACAGCTGAAGGCAGAAAGAAGTCATAATTAAAAGGGTTTGACACCAACACTTGTAACATCTTTGGCAAAAATAAATAAATAAAAATATTTAAATAAACATTACTTGGGGCCCAAGTTGAGTAACATATCATATTTGACACACATTTACAAATTTCTTTTATTGACACTTTCCTAATTTAGCCAACTCTAGAATGATTTAGTTTCATAAGGAAGAGATGGACATTTGCACTCCCAATAAAATAGTATTTCCTCCTTTTAAGAGGTATTTTCTTTTTCTTTTTCTGTTTTTATTTAGTCACACTAAATAAAAAGTAAATATATATACTATATAGTATATACCTCGATACTATGTAGTATTGAGATATATAACATATCTCAATACTATATATGTCATAGTATTGAGATATATCAATACTATGATATATCTCAATACAGATATATCATAGTATTGAGTTAATACAAAGCACTAATTTCTAATCATTTGAATTATTAAGAGAGAATAAGGCATCTAGTACAGCGGATCGGCCCAATAGATGTTAGTCAGTTTTTTTTTTTTTTGTGGAATCATTTATAATGTAATAATAGAGGCAGTCATATCTTTACAAAGAATTGTATTGGTTTTGGAAGGCATTTTTCCTTTGATAGATAAAATCCTAATTTGAAAACAGCAAATTAATATACCTTTTGTATAACTTTTCAGTGTAATTGACATGAAAAATTTAAGTGTGGCAAATAAAATCCCTGCAGAAGATATCTAATGATGCTTTTTCACAGCAGTGCATGTGACAAAGAAGCACAACTACATCAAAAGTGTTGAGAGATCATATACCTTCTTTCTTCATGCCTACAGCCAGACACTTCTGGAAGCGGCAGAAAGGACAGCGTTTTCTTTGGGACCGGTTCATTGGGCAGCGTTGTTGCTCTGAACAGGTATAATGCTTGTTATTCTGCACTGAGCGTTTGAAGAAGCCCTGCGTGAGAAAGAAACACTGTCTGAGGGGGGAAAAAAGCCTAAATAAATCTGGGTCCCCATCATCACAGAAGAACCACATATCAACAACTTATTCCGTACCTTGCAGCTCTCGCAGGTAAGCAGTCCATAGTGGTATC